GCTGGGGTACGAGTCTTCCTTTGGATACATCCATGCAATCAAGCTAGCACAACAAGGAAATCTTTTGGAAAAAAGAGTTGGTATGTGCATGGAGCTGCAGCTTAATAATATTCTTAAAGAATATTCTTAGAAGGCTCTTCATAATTTATAACTCATATAAAAATAGAACTATTTGAAAATATTCTTCTACTTCTTGTGGTCTTATTTCATAGTCCCTAACTCCTCTTTCTGGAGGAGCTGATTTATTTGAAATCCTTAGTTGTTCTTTCATCATTTTGAAATGAGAAATGTCGTTAGAAACACATCAAGCTGAAAATCAGTTTCTATGAGGACCTATCTGTCTTCCTTTTGAGGTAGCGTAATACAAGATTAGACAAAAATGTTACTGTAAGGCAGACTATATCCCTAAGCACAGTATTGTGTTTCTAGCATTTAACTTACAGATAGTTGTCTAGAATTTTTATAAAGCGCTTATTGCTGTTAGCAAAGTGGCCTTAAAACATTTTCTTGTCTGTTTTGATGATTATAAGATTCTTCAGTTGAGAAGCAGTTGTAAGAAACGAAGCAAATGAGATCTTTAGAGCACAGATGCAGAAATTCCTGTGGGAATCTGACAGGCTATTTCAAATTTCTTTGACATTTCTTGCCATGGTGATTTCCTTGCCTGCCCAGTGTGGCTATACAACTTTTTCTAGTAGATTTTGGTTGAAACAGCTGTCAGCCAGTCTTATCTGGAGAAATTCCTTGCAATTGCTGATTCAGCTGTGTAGTGAAGATATTTCGTCTTGTTTGCAGAGAAAATGATTTAACTCCAAGCGATACTGTGTCTGCATACACAGAAGGAAGGCAGTGTCTTACAGGATATGCTTGTTTGATAGCCTTTGTTTGAATTTTGGGTGGATTATCCACTCAAATATTGGAATTTGTGGGAAAGTTTGTTACAAAGGATGATTTAAAGATGCATTTTTTCCTTGAGTAATAAAAGCCAGTCCACAGATGTTCTAGTAGGGATTAAGAAATTCTGTCTGCACCAAACTTAGGAGGGCAGATGGTAAGCAGTTTTGCAGAAAACTTGTATGTGGCCTCTGTAGATGTCGAGAAACAATATGCCTTGTTATTAATCAGTTTGAGCCTTTCCATCCTGGGTGTCCTATTGAGTAGGTTTTGGTGAAACAACTCTTTTTTTTGGTTTTGTTTTTTTTTCTTTCTTTCTTTTCCTTTTAAAGCAGGTGCTTCAGGTCTTCCGGACCCAGAGAGCCCTTAATGGTTTGATCTGAATGAGATATCTGAGGATGTTTGAGTGTTTTTGGTTTTTTTGTTCTCCAGTTATAGGACAGCTTTGTCTGTCCTGAGTGAGATATACCAAATCAAGATAGGCAGCTATCTTACCTGCTGTTAGGCTTGATGCTATAATGAATGAGAGTGAACTGCAGTTTGACAGCTGTGCTAAGCTGATAAATGTGTAGTTCCATGAGCAGATAGGCCAATTTAATAATCCAGACAATACAGTTTACTTGGATATAAGTTGTTCATTCTGATTCCTAAGTCCTAAATGAGCCATGACCTTCCTGATTAAAATCAGTCTCTGTAGTATAAAATATTATTAAGCTATATTTATGGTGAGTGGCGGTACTTGTCCCCCCTTTAACTGCATTAGTTTAAAAGGAGAGGAATCATTTTTCCTAAGAAAAAGATTTCTAGCAAGTTTCTTTTTTGGGGTTCTAGGATTGTTTCCTCTTTATTCCAAGTAGTCAGAATTAATAAGTAACCAAGGAGTGTTGGACATAGGATGATGAATTTAATTTTAGTGCTCAACTTGGAATACAGTGGTATATTTGAAACTGAACTTTATTTTTTGAAAAAAAAGAAACAAATGTAAGGAAATGCGTTAGTTGTCTGGTCTGGAAGGAATGTGCGCTTGTCTTGCTGAGGAGACATTCATTTTCCAGGAAGCGATTTCTCATGTTGTCCTTGGCTGCTCTTTAACATCATTATAGTGTCTTTTATTTCTCACAGCTTGTGAGTTTGAAGCCATCATTTGTTGAGCTTTACTGCAACTTAAATATAACTGTTTTGCCGCGGAAGAAAAGAGTTGATATCTTGATACTTAAAACACAAGAGCCACTGTCATCTAACCGGTTTTACTTTTTTAATGGTTTGAATTAATTCTTTTTGCACTGCAATCTAAGTTTTCTCTCTTGAAGTTTTTTATTGCTTGAAAGTAGTTATGGAATCTTCTTTCTTTTCTAGGTTACTTGGCAGTTTCTTTATTTCTCCATGAAAATCATGAACTGCTACTTCTACTTGTGAACACAGTTGTGAAGGTACAGTGTTTTTGGAGGTCTTGAGGTAAACTAAACTTGGACTGATTCTTTCCCTTGTTTTGTCTTTCAATGTGTAATAAAATCTTGTTCTCTTAAAGCCATTGTTTCTGGGGTTAGCAATGACGTTTAAAAAATAGCTTTGCCTGTTTTTTTGTTTAATTTTGACAATATTTCTACAAATATAATTTAAGCAACATTTCTACAATTTTGCAAAGGAGATATACTATCGAATTTCCATTATAAAATATGCCAAATTATACTTTTAGGTATACATTTTCAACTCCAGGAGGAGCCTTGCATCCATCTTCCAATATAAAATTTTGCTTTTAGCTGACAGCAGGTTTCGGTTGGCTTCTTAAAGTTCTTTTGATGATGACTTTGATAGAAAATGAAAATATGCTTCGGAGAGACCCTGAAAATCCATTACCAATAATATTTCATAGGTATCATCTTCCATATTACTGCTTTTTACATGAAACAATTGTAGTTTCTAGCTCTTTCTAATATCATGATTACTTTTATACTACAGTAGGCTGAATTCTTGCATAAATTACAGATTGAAAATGATGCTCATTTTGCTGCTTGCATTGAAAACTGTTTTGTAATCTTTAACAATCTGACGTAAAGCTGATAAGGATATAGAGAACTGAGAGTCCACAAAGTACTAAAGCAAAACGAGCACTGAAAACTAGCTGAGACAGATGGGTAGAGTAAATAATGATGTGTGCTGGAAATCTTGCATATTTAATTTGTTTTGAAAAATAATTCTAGTGCTTATATTTCATGAATCTATCCATGTTTTTTTCTTTAAGGTTACAATGAGCTCTATCCACTCTTTTCAATTATATTTGGGACAGATTGTGAATTTTTATCCTTTCTTTTGTAGAACTTCATGTGAAGTTTGCGTTCTCTTTTAGGGAAGATTTAATGTCTTATTTTAGCATGCAAATATGTAATTGGCAGTATTACTGGTCTTGTTCTCTTGTATTCTTCCATTTTATGGTTTTTAATTCTTGGGCCTGATCAAAGGCACTAGAGAGAATACTCTCAGTGGCTCAAGTCCCACTGATCCAAGGGAGGACTCAGCATAGTTTTATAGCCATCAAACTACTTCAGTAAACAAATGTAGGTTGTGGCTTTGTGTGTTGACCTTATGTGCATTTGAAACACGAATATAATTTCATAACGCGACAATGGGGAATTGCTTGTTCCTTACTCTTATATAAGACCTTTAGTTTGCAGTTCAAAACCCTCTGGCTTTAAAGAAATGTTTTCTCTTTGGCTGACTTCTATCTAACCTTTGGTCAATGACACAGTTACAGGGAGAAAAAACAGTTACTATCAATGCTTATCACCCATTATTTTCCTGTTTGAAAGACCCTTAAAATTCCTTGCCACCCTACTTGCCTTTCCTCCTGCGTTACGTTCACGGTTGCAGATGTAATGATTTTTTGTTTGCTTCCTTGTGTCATTCACTTGCTTGAAGTCTTTTAATGTTCCTTAGAAACTGAGAAGCCACCAGGTTTTAAATGTAGAAAAGTATTGTGGTGGGAGTAATTTACTCTGATAACACATTTGTGAAGTATTTGTAATTGGATTTAGCTTCACTGCGTGCCAATACGTATAGTTACGTCATTGTTCTGAAAGAATTACTGTTATCTTTGTTAAAGTTATGATTAAAGAAATACGTATATCTGACTATGAGAGCAAAACAGCTCTTTTTGTTATTATCATTATTATTTTTTTTTTTTTCTTAGAAGTTGAGATGTCTTTGTTCATTAGAAAGAAAAATTGTAAGCAGGGGAGCTCAAACTTTCAGGCAGGCAGTATGAAGCAAGCTCTTAGTAACTGGTGTGGCTCTTTGTTACCTGATCATATCTGAAGAGCCTCCAGCAACAGAATGGCGGGCAGCAGGATGCTTGCACATGCGGGATGCTTGCAAAGACTTGCAGTGTATCTGATAGAGAATTAAAAGTTAATGAAAAATGACTGTCTTATTTCAATCACTGTAACAGGACTTACAGAGCACTAATCTAGTAGAGGTGTGCATGGCGTTAACCATTGTCAGCCAGATCTTTCCACGGGAGATGATTCCAGCTGTTCTTCCCCTAATAGAAGATAAGCTGCAGCATTCTAAGTATGTTTTCATTTACAGAATTTCAAGTGGTGTTGTAAGGTTGAATGACTTGATCTTATACGTAGTTTTACTAAACTAATGTTTTCTTCTCAGAGTTGGTCTTTAGCCCTTATCTTCAGAAATTGCTTCTCTGCTAGTTTTCTTCTTGCGTTCTTGCCTGTCTCATTTACTAGCACTCTTGACTGAGTAGTGTGTAGGTATTCATTTTTTTCATAACCTGTTTTGGTAGATAAATTACATAACATTTGTCTGCTGGAGTCCTTTCATATGTGTATGAAGAATTGTTTGTTCTGAAACAGAGAAGCAGGCTGGGATCCCTGAAGTGTGCTACGTGGCTGATAATTTTTTATAAAGCTCTATGTAGAAACGTTATTGATGGAAGTGCATCTGCATAGCCTTGAATTTTTTTGATTTGTTAATTTATAGCAACCCGTACACGGAATATAATACCTTACAAGCATTCTGTTGATGAGAAACTTAAAAGAAACCGCAGAATGAACAAACTCAGTAACTAACTCCTAGACAGGTTTTGTTGTTGTTGTAAATTTTTTTTTTTTGAGCAGCAGATTTATAGCGCCCAGTTTCATAGTTTATCTGGTGGCCATTCTTGTGAACTGTTTATCAGCCTTCAGTTACTTCTGAACTCTTTAAGTTTGCTTAGCTGCTTTTTCACTTAGTTGGTCTTTACAAAGTCATTTGGTCTCAAATCTTTATCTGTAAAACATGAGTACTCATCTGTCTCCCATTCGTGATGTTCTGCGGGGACTGATCACCTAATTTTTCTTTGCTGTAGAAATGAGAAGTGCAATTTGTTTTGCTAAGTCAAGTACTTAAAATACACAAGCAGCTTGATTTTGTTTTGTGTAAATCTCATTTCTCTTCAGGGAAATAATCCGAAGAAAAGCTGTTCAGGCTTTGTACAAATTCTATCTCATTGCTCCTAACCAAGTCCAGCACATTCATGATAAGTTCCAGAAAGCCCTGTGTGACAGGGATGTTGGAGTCATGGCTGCTTCTTTGCATATTTATCTTCAAATGGCTAAGGTAGGCAAAGAATTAGAAACACAATTGAACTTAGGAGCTATTTATATTTTTATCTTAAGTATACATGTACCTGTACAAAAGTTTTACGGGAATAGTAGAAAAGTTTTACGGGAATATCTTTTTCATAATCTTTAGAAAAGCTGATTTATGTGATTGTGGAAATCTGTGCTAGGTTTGTTGGTTCTCTAGTTCTCTTTTTAGCTTTTGACAGAAATCCACATGTTGCCCAATCCAAATGTTCATCAGTATCCTTTACTGAAAAACAAAATTTAATTTTTGCAGTATGTTAAAGGGTATGCTGGGATTTGCATGTAAATTCATTACCATCGCCTTCAAGTGACATTCGCTCTCCTCGCAAAAGTGCAAGTAAATAGCATAGGCATAAAGTGAAGAGCTTACAGGCTTTGGGGATGAGCAGAGAAGTTTGATTTAAGACATGAAAACAGTTGATCACTGTAGCTATTTTGATCATATTCAATCTGTGGCCTTACTTTCTGCTTTTGAGGCACTATATTAAAATATTTGAATTGTACTTCCTTTCCATTATATAGGAAAACGCAGCTGGATACAAGGACCTGACAGGGAGTTTTGTAACTATCCTAAAGCAGGTAGTGGGAGGAAAGCTCCCTATTGACTTCAATTATCACAGCGTGCCAGCACCATGGTTGCAAATTCAGCTTTTAAGAATACTGGGGTTGTTAGGAAAAGACGATCCAAGGTAACCAGATTTTTCTCTGCAATTAATGTCTTTTAAGAAAAAGAATATGCAATGACGAGTACTTCATTGGACTGCTTTTCTGCTCTTTTGTAGAATAGGAGAAGTTCAGTGTTGACCTTCTTATACATTTGGTTTTTATTAAACAATACTGTCAGCAGATTCATTTTTTTAATAGAGAAGTTAATTTCTCAGCTTCTGTCTCAACAAAGCGATTGATTGTTGTGGAATACACATGGAATGTATTTTTGATCAGGATTTTTATTACTAGCTTAGTAAGCAACTGAGTGAAAAACCAAAACAAGTATAGCTAAAGTGGTGTATTTTTGTGGAGGGAGGGAAATGTTTTTATTCTTGTAATGTGGTAAATGTTTCATTTGAAAGCTGAAAACATCTTGTTAGATGTCATTTAAAGACAGATTATAGAGCTTTTCCATTTTAAAGTGAATCCGTGAATATGAATAATTTGTTTTACAGATATCACTGTTGGTATCTGAGCTTTCTGGAAAAGTCGGACTGTAAAAGGACTATATATATATATGTATATGCATATATTAGTGCTGCAAACGAGAATTTTTTTAAACATTCTTTTTCATTTTAAACAGGACAAGTGAATTGATGTATGATGTTCTGGATGAATCTTTAAGAAGAGCAGAGATAAATCATAATATTACATATGGTGGGTGAGAATTTTAGGTAATGACAAATATTTGCAAAGAGCGAAAATATGAGTTGCTCGTCATGCTAAAACACATACTTGGTACTTCTGAAAAATCTAGTTATGTTCTATATATGTAACAGGTGTATTCACAGGTGTCTGTGATTGACTAGTGGACTGTAAAACAGATGATACGGATCTATATAGTGCAGTCTTGTTTTACCAATGAAGGAAAACAGTTTTGTTTAATGGGAGTTTGTACTGGATCATTCTGATGGAAAAGCCTCTGTCTTATGTTTGCATTTTCCTTGCCCTTGCCCTTGAATACAGAAAGTTGGGTTCTTCTTGAAACTCTTATTGAGCATCGCTTCAGTTGAAATAAATGACAGCAGAAAAATTCTAGTGTTACAGCCCTGTTTAAAGTCAAGAAAGACTTAGATCTTCAGCCGTTGATTTTTCTTATTGTCTGGAGAAAGGCAATATAATTATGCGGGAGTGACAACATCAGCTTTTTACAGCTGTATATTTTCCCTGTAGCCACAGTTAATGAAAATTACATTTCCAGAGTTCAGGGATGTGGTGCCATGAAAAGATGCCTTTGGCACACATCTCAACTGAAAATTTCTAGAACATGGTAGATGACTATGTTCATTTCATTATCTTTTCTGCAGGGAAAGCTGTATTTGTTGCTAGATCTAAATCAAGAGGAATAACAGTACTGTAAAGTTTTTCTAATAAAAAGCTGAGCAATTTCTTTGGATTTTTCTTTGCCTTCCCTTCCTCACCTGTTAATGTCTCCTCAGGCACCCAGCTCTGATGTTCTAGAACCCTGACATTGAGAGCTGATTTCACTGTAAAAAATTCAGTATTTTATGGATTTACGGCAAAGCTGTGTAAGTGTTGCCAAGGTACCTGCACTAATGGAATAGAGAGAAAATTGAGATGCCTGCTTGGTACATATTTTCTGAAGCGTTGTGTAAACTTCCCTACCACTATAATGAGGGGAAAAAACATTCTTTTTTAGTAAATAATACATGAAGAAGCATCCATCAGATGTTAAGTGTATTCAGTTTGTTGCTTCTGTGTTTTTAGGCAAGAACATACAGCATGTTGGGAAGAGTGTTTCCTTAAAGTGCAAAAAAATTGCACTTTTGATTGCTAAGAGACTTAACTTGTAAGTCCGTGTGTTAAGCACTTAGAGGGCCAAAGCAGAGTCCATTAAGATGTATATAAAGACATATGAGTATGTGGTATTGTTCAAATATGATAAACTGTTTATAAAAGGTTAGAGAGTTGATGATCCTAGACCAGAGAAAAACGTAACTCTGCATGGTCATTCTTTCTCATAAAAAGTTGTTGCTCATTGAATGTTTTTGGTGTATTGCAGACAACTGAATTGTTAACGTGCGCATCTTTCTCAGATGTAGTTTTGTAACACTTAGGAAAAAAAAAAAAGTGAGTTGTTGCCTATACCTGACTCTATGGAAATCAGTTCGAAATTAAATAAAAAAAGAAAAACTGAAAAGCAAATCATGGTTCTGAATACCAATTAAATGGAGGAGAGTAATTTTGTTTAAAAGTTTGCCTGAATTGCTGCCATAAAGTATTAATTTCTTCTTGTGTGTGTGTGGCTCAGTTTCCTTTTATAGCTTTTTCTCCAGCAGCTATGCAGTGTTTCTCTGAGGAGGAGTGATGTTTCTGTTCTTGAAATGATTTTAGCAGACTGTAGTAGCTAAAAAATCATGAGTTATTGAAAAGTTTGTCTCAAATTCTTTTTAGTTGCTCATTGACTTTCTAAAGAGTCACAGTTCAGTCTCAAGGAGCTATAGGAGGCTTCAAGGTTGAAAGAACTTTAAGGAGAGAGTTTTATGCATCGTAACAAAGATTTAAAAATATATATATATACACGAAAAGGTGATAGTCTTTCATTCTGTTTTCACGTGGGTAGCTACTCTGCAGTTAGATTCAGTAGCGTTAGGTCAGCAGAATGATCCCTTTTTGCAGTGAGTGAGCTTTATGTTCTGGGAAGCTGATCAGGGTGCAGGCTGGTGGAAACAGGTAATCATTGAGATTATTCAAACATTTTTGTATGCTAAAAAGTTGTAAGAGCTTTATTTTCACTTTTGACTCTGTAACGATATGATCCCCTCTGTGGGCTTCAAAGAGTCGTTATAGGTTAACAGAGGTGTGCTTGCTTTTGTTAAATCAACATATGACAGAACTGTTACCCATGCCATTTTAAATTTATCTTGTTCTCCTTTTGATACTCTGTGCCAAAGTGTTTACCTAAGACTCTCTACTTCACTGCATGTTTCTGGCAGTATTTGTCTGTGCTAAGTTTTGAACATCCTAAAACAAAGCAGTAATAATTTGTTCTTTTGCTTTTTTTGTTAGTGGGTGAGAAGGAATATCTCCGCTTTTAGGCTATATAATGAAAACTGTATGACAACAGTGACTGTATATTTCTACCTGCTTAGTACCCCAGCATTATGCTGTTCAGTCTTGCAGACAGTTTCAATTTTGTTAAATTAGTTATGTGCAGTGAGAATGTTCTTTGTTTGCAAAAAGGAAATCTTTTTGTGTACAAATGAAATATCTTTTTAAAAACTGAACTACAGGCCTCATGACTTCAGAAGTGCATATTGGGATAAGGTATTAGACTGCTTTAATATACTAAATAGACTGTATTAGGCCTTATAGTTTTTGTACTAGTATGTATGTATGCTTGTTTGTTAAAAATGATTTCATTATAGAAATATCTAATACACAATAATTATTTGTTTTTGCCCCAGCGATCTTGTTTGAATGTGTCCAAACAATTTATGCAATTCACCCCAAGTCTGAATTACTTGAAAAGGCTGCCAAGTGCATTGGAAAATTTGTTTTGTCATCCAAAATTAATCTGAAATATTTAGGTAAGGATACCTGATTTCATTAAGAAGTTTTAAATCTGATCATGCTGATATGTAGTCTTATATCATTTCCAATTGCTTGTTTTCTAGGTTTAAAGGCTCTGACCTATGTTATCCAGCAGGATCCTAACCTGGCACTTCAGCACCAGATGACAATAATTGAGTGTCTGGACCACCCCGATCCCATTATTAAAAGGGAGGTCAGTCATTTTTTAAACACCACAAATTGAGTTAATTTTTAAGATTTGCAAGGTGTGTGTATGTTTTTTGGGCTTTTTTGTTATTTTTTATGAATGATGTAAAAGGCATATCATGTCTTAGTTACTTTGAGACAGCAGTTATGAACGATATTAATGTACAATGCCTAGCTACACAGTTTGTCACTATATATTTAAGACTTGCCAAATAAAGACAGTTGCTCAATTTGGCATCAGACTAAAGCGTTTCTGTTTGTTCAATTCCTATGTTGACTTATCAGAACCAATGAAGTATTTTTTTGTTTTCTCTTTCAGACTTTAGAACTTCTCTATAGAATTACAAATGGACAGAATGTAATTGTCATAGTTCAGAAGATGCTCGACTACTTAAAGCAAAGCAAGGAAGAGTATACTATCATCAGCTTAGTTGGCAAAATAGCAGAACTAGCTGAGAAATATCCTTTTATTTTCCTGAAGACTTGAAAACTCAGCCAAATGTAGCATTCATATATTTCAAAGCATCTTTCGTGATCTTCTGTATAGGAAAGGTTACAGCTGTGCTTCTTACTCTATTTCAAATGCAAAAAATACACAAAAGAAAACGCATATAAAAATCACCATAGTGTTTTCTTTTTATATTTCACTGGAGAAAGTAAAGGCACTCTCAAATATTATATTTTGGCTTTGGAGTTTGACATTTAAAGTTTTAATTTAAAAAATGGTTTTCAACCTTATACCATTACGTGAAAGGGGAGAGATGCCTTAGTGTTATACTGAGTGCTATTCCGTAATAGTGAGAATAATCTTCCTAGTAGAGAACTTTTAATTGGTGAATATAACCTCTGGATTTTAAGAATAACACATTTTCATAAAAATAAGGGATCATTTAACTACGCCAAAAAGATAAACGTGATGTTCAAGCATTTGGTGTATGACTGACGTTGCTGTTAGACTGATTACCTGATTTTCTGAATGTATTCTTGTCTGGTATTTGAGTTATAAGCTCTTTTGTAAGAGGACCTGCCTTGCCATTCTTTTTTTGTACAGTGCTTCGCACAGAGTTGAAAAGCTGTATGCTCATACAGTACACATAAATAAGATAATAATATGAATTTCCATTCAGTAGTGCATCTAGTTTATATGTGTGTGTGTGTGTGTGTGTGTGTATGTGTATATATGTATGTGTTTATTTGGGGGGAAGGCAGAAGCTAGCAGTTCTTCCAGAGTTAACAAAGGCTGTTCGAATCTGAAATATTTAAAAAAAAAAAAAAAAGTATTACTTTCTATGGAGTGCTTCAAAATGTTTCTTGTTATTCACTAAAACAACAGCAAAACACTTCTAGAGAGAACAGCCAGCCTATTATTAATCAAGTGATAGAGGACAAAATCTTAAAAAAAAATTATGCTAGAAAGCTAACATGGAATGACTATGAACTTAAATGCAGGAGAGAACAGGTTTTCAAAACTAAATTTTTGTGAGAACGCTTCTGATCTTCCTGTGTGAAATCTAATAAATCTCTTCAGCTCTGTAAGATTTTTTTCCAAAGAGGTTTAGATTACAGCTATGTAAATGAATGCTCTGGTTGACACAGTTTACTGTACGGTTAGTAAAGTCCAAGACTTTAAAGCTTATTAGTTGCTAGTTACACCAAGGCGAGAGAACTTTATAATTATTCAGTAATACATTTTTCATTTTCAGTTTGCTGTATGCCAGCAGAGACAAGCCTGAAAAGGAATCTGTTTTGTTTGGTGTTTGTCTATTCAGTGCTTTATATTGCAGCTTAGGCTACTTTTTTCAGTGAAATGTAGTTTTAAAGTATGGCATAGTTGAGTTTCGTTTTTAAATCTAATAGTTTCCAGATTGAATTAGAAACACGACAAGAAAGCTATGATACCTTTTGCAGCATATTTGCCAAAAATTTTCAGATTCACTTTGAAACCCTTCAGTCCTACAGCTGTGGAAGAACTGTCTCATTTCAGTCCTTTAGTTTGAAAATTACTTTTAAGTTGTCTGCAGAAGTAGTTCATTCGTGCCTTAGGTACACAGCATTCTTCAGGACGGTGTAAGTAAAAGTACAATTGAGTTGTTTCATAAGTGACAAAATTAATAAGGCCTGCCTCTTATGAATTTGTCTCCTAATTTCCTGTCTGTCTTGTGGTACCTGACTTCCTATCCTCTATTTCTGCCATTAACTCATCTTCCTGTCTTTCTTCCTCCTGCCCTTTTGTGTCCTCTTACATACTGACTAGGCAGGGAACAGAATTTTCTATCGTTTATTCATTCACAATTTCAGATGTCTTGATTGGCAAGCCAGCAAATTGGATGTAATGGATAGCTGTTAAGGTTACGTGCAGGTTTTTCTTCAGCAGCGTAGTAATTTAAGACTTTCTTCTCTACCTAACCACTAATTTTCATGAACTTTACAGGCAACATCTTTGTAAAAGATGCAGGAATATGTCCTCTTCAGTTAAATTGAATTGAAAACTTGACCATCAGGCCCCGAAATTATTGAGGAGGGTAAGACAGGTAGCTTATTTGTGGAAAGTTTGTTTCCTTAGGAAACGCACTAAAAATGAATGAAAGTAAGTTTATGCCTTAGAACTTAATACCTTAACATCTGGACACGTATGCCCCTGACAATGAGTGGTTCATCCAAACAATGAATGCCGTGTTCTCAGTTGGAGGAGATGTTGCGTATCCTGATATCCCAAACAACTTCCTGAGGCTGCTGGCTGAAGGTGAGTAACTCACTGAATGCTGCATTATTCAGTTGTTAGTTAATCATCTGGCTTTGTTTCTTAAAATGTGCTTTGAAACATCTGATGCAGGTGGCATCTTTTACAGGCCAAGTATGTATTATTTTCTTCTTAGGATTTGATGATGGAAAAGAAGATGAACAGCTGCGGCTCTATGCAGTACAGTCTTATTTAGCATTACTAGAAGAAGAAGATGCATTCTATCCGCAGAAATTTCTTCAAGTTATGAGCTGGGTAAGGCAGGCACATGGTCAAAATTGAATACATAAGATGTGAGGAAAATGTCAAAGGTAGTGATGTAACATTTGGGTTTTTTAACTTTAAATTTTAATAATGAATATTCTATTTTTACTTGAAGTCAAGATACTACACTTAATTTTTTTTTTTTTTAAGCAGCCTCTTTTGGTGCCTGAGGACTACTTAGGTTGTCCTAGTTAGTGGAAAAGGAGATCTGCTCCCTTTCAAGGCAGGTGACTGTTAGAGTGGTTTAGCTGTGACATCTGTCTGCATGCTGAGAGCCTTCCCATCTTTATCACAGTTAGGCCAGATGTGGTTGTGAAATGCATGTTTAGCCTTGTAGCTAACTGCCCAGTTGTGATGCTAGTATTCTCTGGCACCTAGGTAAGCTTTAGCTACTACCCAAGAGGCTGTGTTATGAACAAGTCATTTTTTGTAGGGACATAATTATTACATTTAGCTTCCTTTTCGAGACAGCTATTTGATTTTAAGAAACTAAAAGTTGTAGCTGGCTGAAGTAAACACAAAGGTCGTCTCAGGCCTTTGCCATTCAAAGCACAATGCTACAGAAATCAATATGTTTTAGAATGTATTTATCTGAGATAAGTCTTGGTGAAGCAGGTTGGAGACAGTTTAATCAATTGTGTAAGCTTGGCAGAGCTGTCTTTCTGTAATAAAACTGGGAATGCCTTTTTGATTGGCAATTGGATGCTCAGCTGAGTATTCATTTTTTGCGTTACTGACAGTGGTTTTGTCCTTCATATACCAGCAATTAAACCAGCAGCAGTTTGGAGGACAACTGTGCCGACTGCTGTTCTTAGTTGTGGTCAGGTTCTTATTGTAGACAGCTTTAAAGTGGAAAAAATGCTAATTCAAAGAGTCCAAAGCTGCTAGAGGTATTTTGCTTTACACAGTGTCTCTTACTTTCATTTTATATGCATAAGAAATTTTTCTAAGGCCTTGAATGTAAAGTTATTTCAATGTCTGTAATGTTTTTTGAATGTGAGGTAGATTTTAGTGTGTTACTATATTATTATCACACTGAAAGCACTGCTCTGTTTGTGTGTGCGTGTGTGTGTAAATGTGTATTTTTGTCTATTCCTTGTGCGTAGGTTTTGGGGGAATACTCCAGCCTTGTTACAGATGTTGATCCAGAGATTATTTTGACACGGCTGCACAGGTTGCTGAAAAAGACTTTTGTTACTTCTGAAACTAAAGCTTGGATAATGGCTGCAGTCACCAAAATAGCATCCCGTACTTCGTGTTCTAAAACAGTTGACAAACTAATCCAAGAATTCAGCACCTCTCTAGATACCTGCATGAGGCAATATGCCTTTGAATTAAAGCATCTGTGTGAAGACAAAGTGTTGATGAGAAGCTTGCTTCCTTTTGATGCTAGTTGCAACGACATAGTGGTAAGATAGCTGCAGTGTCTGTTCCTCATGAACATTTTCATGGTTCTAGGGGTTGGCTATTTCAGGAAAAGATATTTTAAAAGTGAATTATACTCGATAGCTAAGACTGCATGCGCCAGTCTTTTAGTCCCATTAAAAAAGGGTTTTGAGAAGCATACTTTTTCAGGCAGTTATGTTGAATTTTAATGTTCTCTACTGAAAAATAAAGAGCCATGGTATTTAGTTAGTAACCTGAAATCAGTTTTAACCAAGTTATGTTTTCATAAACTGACTTTTTTGCCCTTTTTTTTCTAAAGTTAAGTTAGAAAAGTAAGTTAGTTAGTTTTCTAAAGGTAAGTTAGGCCTTATTTAGTGATATGATACAGCTTTTTTTAATCTCAAAGTTTTTGCTTCCTGTTCAAAAATACTGATCTTTGCACTGAAATGTCCATACTGAAAGAGGGAAAATAGCATTGATAGTACTGTTTTTTAAGTGTTTTTTATTATTGTTTTCTTTTTTGAGTTTGGTGTTTTCACGTTATGGTGGGGCCAACCATTTTGGGAAAACTTCTATCCGCTTCTGTTTGCACGGGGGTTGGAGGATAGGGGTGCAGTGGGTTAAGATGACAAAATTAGAAAGCGTAGGTGAAACTAATTTAGTTTGTAAATCTCTCTCTCTCTATATATAAATCTTTATATGCTGTTTCAACGTGCTTGCTTAGGAATTTCTGTACACAAAACATTTTCATGAGGCTAAAAAGTACATCAGCTTTGTTGCTAAACATGGGAAGTGTGAGATAAAGATCCTGACTTGCTGATGAGACAAAATATTCTTCTGGTAACATCAGCCTGATATACAGAAAATATTTTTGTTTTCATTGATGTCTCTTTTTTCTTAATTGTGTATAGGTAGATGCTTCCTTATCTTTCCTGGATGGGTTTGTGGCTGAGGGACTTGGCCATGGTGCAGCACCATATAAACCTCACCACCAGAGGCAAGAGGAGAAACTTTCTCAGGAAAAAGGTGACTTAGTTTAGTGCTTTCACTAAATAGCTGGTAAACTACCTGTTGACTATAAACAAACGATGTAAGTATACAGTTAATATAATTTCTTGAAGCAATGTTATATATAGTAGCATAATACCTTGAAGATATTTTTGAGTGTAAAATGTTTAACTTCTACTTGTTTCACATAGTAATACTAGGATCAATTCATATATTTTGCAGCCAGTAGTAGTGACTTATGTTCAGTAAGTTTAATGCTAATAGAAACTAACAAAGGCACCTGTGGAAGATATCTACAGAAAGGAATCCTAGACCTTAGTGTTTTGCAGCTGGGGAAATGATTCCTGTTTCCTTCAGTAAGATTTGAAAAGGTAGCAGATTGTATATCGCCAGTCAACTTTCCATATTCTCTGTTTTGTCATCGAGGTCATATTTAGTTCTGTGATATTCTGTGATATTCTTGCAACAGTTTTAAGTGTTTTCTTCACTATAATTTCTTAATTCATCTGAAAATCTCTTGCTTGTAAACTCAGCTAAGCTCTACTTAGACCTTAATTAATTCCACATCTGTCAAGCTGGTATATGTAACCATTAATTTACCATAGGCTTCCTGCTCTATAGATGAGAACATTTTGTTATACTCTCTGCTAGTCTATGGGTTTTGAAATTAGTGGGGAATACTAAGGTAAAAGCGAAGAGTTCCTAGCTTACTGTACTCAGCACTTATGTCTTGCTTGTGGGATTGTAGTTGGCGGTAATAATCTTTGTGAATTTATTTTATGAAAGAAATCTCATGTATTTTTTTAGCTAGTGTAGGTGTAGATAACAAAGCTGTATGTGCTTTTATTTATTAAAATCCAGAACATAAACGCTTTAGCTCTGCTGCATGTTTAAAATTGTATTCTGACTTTTTAAGCCATGCAAATTTTTGTTTCTTTTAACCAGTCACATAAGGATTTCTCTTTTAGGCATTTTTTGAATGATTCGTTTTGAAGTTGGAAATCTTCTCTTTAGAATGTTCCTCTGCGTTACCATGCTGCTGAGGGATTAGAAAAATGAAGTCTCAAACTGCATTATCTACAATTCATTATTATTTTTAAAAGTGGAGTTTGACTATGCATACAGTAAATAATATTGTCAATTTACTTGCATCTGTAGTTTGGCAGAATTTAACCCTTTGAGATAGTCGACAGGGACGCGTTATAAGTTAGCGTATCATATCTATAGCCTCCACATTAAACCTGCTTAAAATTTGAATTTTCAGTGGAGAGATGTTAACAGGTCAAATGTCTTGACACTGAATAATCTATGCTATTTTTGCCATGTGTGTAAAGACCAATGAGAAGTGCAATGTACTGTATGCCAAATCCATTGAGCTCATGGTAGTTAGTACTTCAGAGTGAGGTGTTGAGAACTGAATTACTGGCATTTGCTGCTGAAGAACATGCATTTGTGACAGTCCGGTGTTTGCAGCGTTTCTGCAAATTTCTAGGGAAGCCTTTGTAATAATCAGATTATGCATTGCTTTTTTTTTCTCAGTATTCACTGAGAATTCAGTATTGATTAGTATCTGATTCAGAAGTATTCTAGGAGGTGAGATGTTAGAAATATATTTTTTGTGGACACTTTCCACTGAGTTTATTGATTTGAAGTTTTTTGTTCATGGACATAATTGTTATGTGTTCGTAGTGTTTGGATCTCTTTGATGCCATTTATGACAAGGCCCCTAGGATCTCTGCTCCTTCTTGTTTCTTTATGGGGCACGACACTTCCTTAGCACAGCCTCCATATATACCAGTAGACCTCTCTTGTCCCAGGTGCCCAACAGTTCTGCCTTGCTCCTTCATTTGTGCTGTGAAGAAGAAAGCATAACCCTGGGTGAAGATGAGGGAAAGGGACTGTACCCCTTGATGGTTCCAGTGCTGCAGTGGAGAGTCTATGCACTGTTTCTTATGTAATAATGACTGATTGTGTGTTAAAGTATAATCCAAAAAAATTTTCAGAAGTTATTCAAGCTACGTTTTGATTCGTGAAACATAGCTAAGGTGCTTGGTTCTGAATCCTGATTTGCAAGTCTCTTTGAAAATGATGTGTCAATATGTCAAGTATGTTTGCAAAGCAAATAATAACATATGGGCATTGCTGTGGATTCAAAATATGTTATTTAGGCTTGTCAGCAAATGGAAAAATTCCCTTATTTAGGTCTGATACAGTACTTCTGTACAAATAATACTTCAATATTGGCAGAAGTTTTAGAGTGATATTTTCTGAAATCATTTGTCCTGTTTAATCTCAGTGTTTAAAAAAGTCATATTTAATTAAATATATGTGCAGATAGCAAGTGAATACCTGCTGTAAACAGATAAATCCCCTGTGTTTCTGGAAGAAACTTGTTTCAGAACAGGAACATTTGATTTTAATGGTGTTAGGATCTTGAGGGCTGAGAAGTGCAGCAGTACAGCATATCACTTTTCAAAAAAATTTGTTTTTCTTATTTTTTGTGTTTCATTGTGATTTTTAAAAGATTCTGTCTTTCTTACAGCTCTGAATTTTGAACCTTATGGATTGTCATTTGCTTCAAGTATGTCTCCATCTGGCTTCGCTGGCAGACAGTCCCCCACTGGTTTATCTTTTGGTTCTGATACGTCTGGTAATAGCGCTGAGACAGGGCATAAAGAGTGAGTTAATTTGTCTTTGAAATGAAGAAGTACATTTACGCTTATGTTCTTGTCAGTATCGTGTCTCTTTGGTGCTTCATTATATGGAAGCAAAAAGCATACAGTTCAACTTGGAACTTACTCTGAATGGAACTTACTCTGTCATGTGAAAAGAAATCATTCAAGATGGTGTCTTCACTGAAATAACTAGAAAAACATAATGCAGTTAGACTATTTTTTTCGCTTGCTTTGTGAAGTATGAAATGAATGGTAGCTCATGTAATACAATTGAAACAGGTTTGCCTGATAGTTGAAGGATGAGGTGGTTTTTCTCTCTGGCTTCTTTATTTCTTTATTTATAGAACGTACTCACTTTTTATAGGCTTACAGGAACGTGCCTTTTAGGGAAACCTTTTTAGATAAAGGTGAGGCTAAGATTCGCAATGTAAGATACTCCTTAAGCTTTAGAACATTACAAATAAATTCCATATCCATAATTCCATACAAATTAACTACTTGGTACTCAGGTAAATGGGTAAACAGGAGAACTTTGACGCTTTCTAAGGTTTATGCACCAGTTTGCATAAAAAAACCTTTGAGACTGAGACTTTTAGGTGTAGGAGTTAAAGCATTTAGCCTGTGTCTGTTGAACTAACTTTTATTAGAGTTCTTGGATGTCTGTGAACGTGACCACTTTTTATTTAAAAAAAAAAAAATTCTATATCTCTTCTGATTTGCAGCCTCTCACGTGAGGTACGTAATTTTTAAAGAATCATCAACAGAACTATTTTAAATATAGCTAGAGCTTCCCAGAATATGGAAGATAGATACCATGTTGTTCATATTAACTTTTAAAAAATTGGGTCAGTAAGTTATGAATGTAATCTGGAAAACTGGATGGAGTTTGCAAACATGGTCTACTACTGGCTGCAGGTATCTATGGTCATTGTGTACGCTAGTCCCAGTATGTTTGCAGGCTGTTTAACAAAGAGATGAACGACTGCTAACATAGAACTTCATGCAGATAGAAGGTTGTTCCTTCATATTCCACTGTTAAGTGTGTAATGAAGTACCAAGGCTGAGAATGTCAGTGTGCTTTTATGAACATGGTATTCATATGCTTGGTCCCTGATTTATTTATTTAATCTATTTATTTATTTATTTATTTATTAGGACAAATAGTCTGAAACTTGATGGAGTAAAGAAACTCTGGGGAAAAGAAGGCTATCTTCCAAAGAAGGAAAACAGAACAGGGAAAGAAGGTGAACCTCTGACTGTTCCTTGTAGCAGCAGCTTATTAGCCGGACATGTGGCAGATCCTCCTGTGTCACACTCTGATCAAGTTGCCAGCCTCTCTGAGGAAGAAAAAGAGAAGCAGCAATTAGCATCAACGTTGTTTGTTGGGCTAGGATCAAATGCTGGTGTCAGTCTGGTAAGTGTGTGGGGTTTTTTTTGTTGTTCTGGGTTTGTTTTTTTTTTTTTTGTGATTTACCTGTTTATGTATGCCCTTATTTACAGTTATAGATATTTCTGTGCAAATAGAGACCAAATCATTATTTTGGTAACGTTAGGCAAATGACCTGAGTCACTGAAAAACTGTTGTAAACGACTTCTGTGATCTGATAATTTGTTAAAAACGTAAAACAGGTTGGATACTGCTTGATCAGATGACCTCTGGAGCATATCTTGTTCAGTAAACAGACCTCCCCTCCGTTTACGTTCTGTGCTTCAGGTTCTGTTCTTAGATTTTTCCCAGATATAACTGTTCATTGTCCAAACTTTGCAGAGCTGTTGGCAGTCATAAAAAAAGGGCGTTATACTTTAGCCTTATTACCATTTGCAAATAAAAATGATGTATTTGGCAATATGTAGAAGATTAAAGAATTCACTATTAGATAATCTTTTAATACTGGCCTAATCAAGTGCCAACATTTGAGCTAGCTGATATATCACTATTTTAACCATAAAATGTTTACCTGTGGTTGCTTTTTAATAGCATCTTTTAATATATGAATTAGAGAACCTAGAATCATTCTTGCGTTATAGACTAATCCAATGCCCTGCAAGTAATTTAACAGAAGCCTCTTACTCTATCCTTTAAAATGTTTAAAATACATTTGTATTTGTCATCTGACAATGGTCATTATTGTCCTTGCTCCTTCTGCTTCATTCTGTTAATAATTAAATAACTACTCGTCACTAGAAGCCAAAAAATCCTTTTTTTTTTTTTTTTTGGTCCTCTTTCTCCTTTCAGATGGGGAAAGGAGACATGGCTACTCAGAAGTTCAGAAGAAAATCAAAGATAAACGAAACTCAAAATTATGAGGAAGCATCAGACATCCAAAATAGCACTGCTTCATCTCTTGTTCCCTTGCTTGATACAGTACCTAGTAGCAAGGAAGGCCACGAGAGAGATGAACACACAAGGTTAAGGAAGGCCTCCCTGTGTTCTTCAGATACTTGGGAAGATAATTCAGCGCTTGGAAAACCTCAGTCCTTAAAGAAACCTGAACTGGATAACAAACTTTCAGATAGTAGGCTGTCATCGTCCTCTTTGTTTGCTGATAGTAATATTGAAATTTTTCATCCTTCGCCAAGCGCTCAGTGTGAAAGTGCCAGTAAAACCCTGTTGACCCCTTCCTTGCCAGGAGAACTAGCAGAGCTCCCTCACTCGGAAGTAGTGGAACTTTGTCAGAGTGATGACCTAGCTCTGCATTTATGTAAGGTGTGGACAAATGACTCTTTGCTGCTAATCATGTTTGTTTCAAATAAAAACACTTCTGCTCTTAATGCTGTGAACCTCATGTTTGAAAAAGCAGAACATTTTCAGGTAAGAAACTTTGTTTCAAGCGTATTTCAAATTCATTTGGAATTTCTTGCTTTTGTCTGCATTTAGCTGCACCATATTTTCTTCAGTGTAATAGCCAGATCTTTTTCCCTGAGCTTTTCCTTAAAATCTGTGGCATGGCTGTTACACACATTCTAAGGAGTAATGAAATAAAATTCAGCTTTAAGCTTCAGGTCATTTGGTATTTAAATTCAGCATCTACTTTTTTATTCAGTTTGATTTCATGTCCTACTGCTTGCCTCCCTGGAACAAATATGCGTGATTTTTTTTCTTTGTTTGTTTCAAATTCGGCTTCTTCCTTCTATTTTAGGACTGAACGCTAATGCAACTAATTATACTCATAAGTGATACGACTTGAGTTGCCAAAGGGATCACTTCAAATTTTTTGTCTCTGTTTGCTGTTATGCTTGTTTAGCTATTATTTGTCCTTGTCTGGGAGGCAGAGACGGTGCAATTTCTTCCCTCATGTAAAACTGTGTAAGCTTGTTTCAAGTTTTGATTTTCTATTCAAGACATCAGTCGTATTTCATTCAGTTGATACTGGAAAGGAGTCAGTTTATTTTTGATACCAACTACATACGGGATAGAAATATGGCTGATAAAAGCTATATGTGATGAAGTCTTGATTGAAACTTTACATAAATCATTTAAAAGCTGTTTAGGAATGGCATATCAGCATGATTATCTGTGGATTTTACTGAAGGAGGCACAGAATTCCAAAACCTTGAAGGCACTCAGCATCTGGTAACTGGACAAAGAATTAAGCAAATTGTTTGTTTTAGAATTGCTAATTGGTTATGAAGTTTTTTCCTGCTGGTTTTGGCCTTATACCAAACCTATCATAGCACTGATAGAGAGTGAACATCCTGTGTCTAGTTATTTCTTTTATCTCTTGTAAAATTCCACATAAATCACTACATAGATAGAATCTGTGTTACCAGTTTGTTGGGAGAGGCCAAGGACTGGTGCGTAATCTTGAAATTATTCTTGTTGCTAGGGATGGTTTTTCAACTTTCTGCTTTTAGCATAGTTGGAGTTGCTTAGGGAATGTTACGCTGTTGCTCACTCTTGTGTATTAGTTAATCTTTGAAAATAAATTACAGAAATCAGGTTCTTGGCCATCAGTTCGCTGTCTGTCTGAGCAATTATTTGGAAAAAGCCAACTGGCAAAAAGAGATCAGTTTCTCCTGTGTTTTACTTCTCATAGTACTTTTAGAAAAGTTAATGGTTAGTTTACCTTGATGAGAACTGAGAAATGGTAGCTCTGTTCACTTGCCTACTTGTGCAAGAAACATCAGTTAACATAAAAGGCACTTGTACAATTTTATAGCTGTGTCTTAGCCACGTAACGCAACTTGATGACAAGATTAATATATGCTCTATCTCTTTCTTAAAAAAACGTGTATAGATTTTGGAGAGTCCAGCCTACCATTTTGCTGTAATAGAAGCTCAGAGCGTGGAACATTGCCAACAATGTGTGCAGATGGACAAAATCTGTACACAGGGGATTCTTTCTGGCTCCATTAATTACCAGTCAGAGATGGAAACTCGCCTTGAATTTTCAGTAATTTTATCATTGTTGGACTTCATCAGGTAAATAAAAATAAGCTGCAATTTTTAAAAACAGTGAACAGAAGGGTGAGAAGGGAATATTGCTTTAAAATATGGCAAAATATAAATAAGTCAAACTGAAGTAAGTGACTTGAGTATAGAGTCGTATGTAGTACGTGAGGAAGCTGGCAATTTCTGAAGGAAAAAAGAATATCATCCTATATATATTGGAACATTGAGTTTTTTAGCAGTGAGAAAAGCAAGATTTTTTTCGGGTAGACTATTCTGTTTTATAGTGACATTCACCACGTTTTCCCTGCTTATTTGTATTCAATAATTTCTAACTTTCATTGAATTAATATTTTCCTGTTTCAACAGGCAAGTATCTCAAGGCAGTTGACTTTGGTCTTTTATTTACTTTCATCGAATGATCTAAATTTTTAAAAATTTTGAAATCTAGTAGTTTTGAAATTTAGGGTAAAATTTTTGAAAAATTTTGAAATCTAATAGTCAGAATCCAGTTTTGACTGGAAACTTTTTTATGATAAGCTAGGAAGAGGAGGGATTTGTTTAGACAAATCTGCATTTGGTTATTGCTTACACTATTGTCCAGTTACTTTTAAGATACAGATTTTTTTGGAAGACCAAGTATATTTTGAATAATGTGTCTTATTTTTCTAAGATCTGTGGTCAACTTATTTTTAGGCCAATGGAAATGACTACAGAAGACTTTGGGAAGCTGTGGCTGTCCCTCTCCAATGATGTGAAACAGAATCTAAAAATGTCATCTTCTCAAGATTCCTTTTCAGCAGCTCTGAATACACTGCAACAGAAGCTAAAACTCCATATAGTTGATATTATAGGTGAGTGAAGGTATAATGTAAGGTTGCTTACAATCTGTAATAGGAAAATAAGTGCAGGGAAGCAGGTACATTACAGTCTAAGGTAGGAAAACATTTGGGAACATACTAAACCTTACCCAGGGGCATTTTTCTATGGACTTTAATGGCCTTATTGAGGGGTCTGTGTGAAGGTTGAAATATCAAGGTGCAAGTGTACAGCAAACAGTAAATTTTACAGACAGCAGACTGTTTGTACCACTGTTTCTGAAGAGTTTTGGAGGGCACAAAAAAGTGGGAGTGAGGATTTATGACAGAAGACACGAAGTTGGGATTGCATGCAGGAGGCATGACTTAGTGACATGTCAGAGGAGTAGGAGACATGAGTAGAAGAGAACAGAAGAAACAGGCTTTGTGAGGAAGATAGTTTTTTGTGAACTGTGCATCCATACGGTAGCTACATCTAATTATTATTTCTCTCAATTTGTCTGTGGCTTCTGTTATTTTAAGGTAATGAGGGAATACTGGCATGCCAGCTGCTTCCATCCGTGCCCTGTCTGCTGCACTGTCGTATTCATGCAGGGATGCTGGCTTTATGGTTCAGATCACCTTGTTCTGCTCTTCCAGATAGTTTGCTCTATCAGTGTCAAAAGGTGATGGAAGAATCCTAATAATAATAGTGCCTGCCTTAATGTGTTGATGTATGAAGATCAAATGGAAGATTTATACAGTTACATGATAATTACCAAAGCTAAATTAAGATACTGATTCTGAGAAGTATTAAAAGTTTTCTTTCAACTGGCGTGTGTCATGTGGACTTGTAGGGAGAAATGATGATGGAAAGTATGCCTGGAAAAACATGCTCAGGATTATACAGTCACTGACAAGTCATCTACTAAAGTATTGTTACCTGTTTAAGTGAAATGTATATTTCTTTCTTTTGTTGTAAATGACTGAAAGTATTTATTTTTATTATGTACCTTTTATAGATGCCAACAGTCATTCCTCATAGAAACTACATAATATGATTTTTAAGGAAAATGTAGCTCCATTATGATGTCAGACTTGAACATTTTATCAGGATCTTCTCATTTTGTTTTTAAGAGTTTTTCTAAAGTGTTTTTTTAAATGCTGTTGGCAAGGAGACCTGTATTGGTTGTTGTATGATGTACCTTATATAAAAACGGATGAGTGTTTTGAAAATAATTAAAACATAACTAATACATTTCCCATGATCTTTGATGTTACCATTTAGGTATTTAGTGGTAATAGCTAAGTAGGATCCTGGTGGAAGACAGGCATGTGAAAGATTGTTCGGAAGTGCCTCGTGGGGGATGATCATCCAAGGCTCTCCTTCCTGTCTGCGCTGCTTCCTGCCTGTTGTTTCAGTCATGTTGCCTTTGCTTAGGGTTCTGCAGCGGTTGCCAAATCTTTGTGCGTGTCCAAAGATAAGTTTCAGGTGGATAGAGTTGGAGAGGACTGAGCTGGTGTTCAGTCCTCTGGACTGGTGGGGTGTTGCTAGTGGACATACTCAGAGCTCTCCACTCTTAATCTAATCTATTTAATTTGGCAGATATCTCCGTCCGTGAAAATTCACAAGGAAGAAACTATTTTTACTTCTCTTTCTAATTCTAATTATTAGTAGTTTGCCTGTAAGACTGTGCAAACCTTTGACTTGTATGGGTTTGGCTATATTGTAGGTGCACGGCTAGGAACTGCTGTAAGGCGTAAGAGGTCTAAATCAGTCCAGCGTGCATGCTGAGTGTGTCTGGATGTACTTCATAGCCTTGAAAATCTAGTGATTTTAATTGTAAATGTTAAATAATATCTTTTGAATACTATTTGCCATTATTTATAACTGGTTATACTTTTTATTTAAAAACATAAGATTGTACAAGCATTTCTCAGATATGGTATAAATGGATTCTGCAATGGAACTCTCTCCTTTCTATGTTTAATATTAACAAAGAAATTCTTTCTAGTATTTCAGTTTTATCAATTCTCACCTGATAAACACTGATTTTTTAAATGAAAATATTCTGTTAATTTGCTCATGTTTTGCTAAAAGTTCATGAAATCACAGTAAGACTACAGTATTGGTATGCTGATAGTTAAGTGGTGTGGGTTTACTTTGTTTTTGTTTTTTTTTTTAAATTCTTAGTCCAGCCACTTGTATTATCACAAGTACGATCGCATGAGGAAAGTTCCTTTTTCACTGCTGTTCCAGTACCCTTTTATTGAGGGATTTAAAGTGCACTGAACCTGTAAATATATTTAATGTTCTGTCTACTTTAATCAAGCTTACTTGACACTTCAGGACAGTTTCTACAAATGAAAACTGATTTGTAGTGGAATAATTTCCAGCAAACTCTTTTTTTTGATAAATCAGACTTCTGTGATGCATTTTGACTTTTGTATTCATGTGAACTGTTACAGACGTATCTGTTCCTGGCCTATGCATTTAAACCATTTCAGCAATGAGATGTTGAATGTTTTGGTGTTTAAAAAGAACAGCAAAAGACAATAATGCCATCTGTTGTTCATGTAATGCTCTTCATACACTATCCATACAGTGGAAAAGGTTATGTTAAGCTGTAAATATGCATTGATTCTAGGAGCATAATCAAGAGCTTTATGCTAATGTTACATAAAGGGTTTTGCAGGGGGTTGTACCTGTGGTACAGTCTTTATTTTCAGATCATCCAGCAAACACCTTTCTTACTCTATTGCCATCTTTGCATTTCTTACAGTTTAATAAAATCCAGTTGAATAAAAATTTCAGCTTGATTTTCATTGAATATTCTTTTTGCTACCACATGTGGCGGTGTTTCTGTATATTAAGAACTAGGTTGTCCTTCAGTTGTTTCTCTCTGTAGCTAAACAGTGATGAAGACTGTAACGTTGTGGAAGTCTTGCATCCACTGGTGATTTAAATGTCATATGTTTCAGCTGGAGGTATAAGAAGTGAGAAAGAATACACTGTAGATCTTTTGAATAGCATTCTGTGTGCCAGGTCACATTATCTAGTATTCTCTTTTGGAATACTGTCTGATTATGTGATTTTAGGTATTGATGACTGGAATAGAATTTTTTTTTTTCCCCTCAAGTCCAATGCCAACGTAACACACTACTTACTGTAGTTTGGAGAGGAGTTGGGAGTTTCAGAATTTCGATGCAAATGCTGAATTGAGAGTGGCTGCAACCCTAATCCTAAGTTGTGAGGCTGTGTACTTGCATGGCTTTATGCGCCCTGCTGCTCTGAACTTCTGGCTGATGTGAGTAACTTACTGTCCTTGAGAACCTCTGTAAATTGGTGCTGAGAATCCCTCTGGTTTTGATCCATCATACAGATGTCTCTGTAAAATGGGACATAGCTGCATAAGTAATTCTACAAAAAAATACTCTCTTGCATCTAATTCTGTATTGAAATTCCTTTAGAAAATATGTTAATCTTCTGAGTTCTTCCATAAGAAACACCATTAGTATGATAGGAAAAACAATTTAAACTAGTGCTAATAGGGAGTTTATTCTTTTCAGAGGGAATGTGTTGGTTTCTTCTCGTTTACTTTTCTTTGTGACTTAATAGGACTTGAAGGGTTAACTTTTTTTCTGGGAAAGGGAAATAAGATGGGTAGATGTAAGCTAGGATGAACAGAGCATATAATTCTATTAACGTGAAGGAGCCTACTTTCGAGAGGCAATCAGAGGCCAATCACAGCACACTGACCTTTCTGAACTGGCAAGTCAAGAGCCTATTGGACAAAGAGCTGAGGTACCAGCAAACTCTGACTGTTCCACTGCTCTGTGTTGTGGGCACCCTAGAGTTCTGGACGTTTTGAAATCAGCAGGTAAGTGATGATCTTGGATCCACGTTTCACTTGTTTGGTTGGGAAATATTTAAAAATATTTTTAATGGAACATTTGAATAAGAAAAGAGGTGCCAGTGCAGAAGGACAGTATGATGTTTTCCTAAACATAGATTAAATCTCCCACTGTGTTATATTACTTTCTGTAAAGTGTTCCCTATCCCTGCTCATCCAATAAGAAGCAGAAAGAGTAAATCAATGTGATGGATGGCAGTGTTTTGAGGTTTTGTACTTGTAAATAGGCCACAAATTACATTGCCTGTTAGTTTCTAAATACTGGAAAGATAGTCATCTGTTGTAGAGTCCCATTAGCAGCTTTTTTCAGCATTAAAAACTGGTATTATCTTCTCTGTGTGGGTGTGAATGTGCACTGTCTTTTTCTAGCATGAGGTACCTAGCATTGCATGTAGAAATGGAAGTAGATCTGCTTGAGTCATCCAGTTAAGACTTGCTTTTGCCATTCTGTTGCTGTGATAAGAGGTAATTGTGTTCTACCTTTTTGGTTCTTTTGGGAGCCAGTCATTTATATGCCTTTCTGTAAATATGATTCTCTGACATAAATAAGATTACACGTTCAGCACTACGTACTGTTCTGTGGTTCACATACAGATTCATTAGGAATCTAAAAGTGGTCACTCCCTTGAGAGTTTCCTGAACTTCAACGTTTTTCTCTTTATGTAATAAAGTTGGCAATGATGAAGCAAAAAATACCGTGTTCTGCCATGAGATGATGCACAAAATTAATCTGAGAGCCGTGTTTTACCAGCAGCCTGGCTCAAAGCACCACTTACTAAGATGGCCTTGAACTTTTACTTTAAGATTTTCAGCTTTCTCTATTTGTGCCAATCTTTACTTGCTTCCAGAATAATTGCCGTGCGAGTTGTTTGCAGATCCTGAAATCTTTAGGCCAAAGCAGTTTGTCTTTTCCAGGAATAAGGGTAGGAAAATTCATGCTTGTTGATATTGAAACATTCTGGTAAGTTCTAGGACTTCCATGTTTAGGGCAGGGGTTTGAAATTTGTCAGGGATGTGCCTTTTTTCCAGCTGTAGTTACGTTTAGCTAAACTGAACTAAATACATTACTGAAAACTTGCAAGTAGATGCTTGGTGGAGAGCTAGATCTTGGCATGTTACTTCTGCTCTGGCCCGGACACAGACTGCCTGTGTACCTTGTAGGCACCTCTCAGACTGTGCCTGTGTAGAACCTGGTCTTGAAGGCAGAAGCTCTTGCCGTTTCCTCCACACAGTGTGTGAGAGAGTTTCTGAAATTGGCAACTGAACCACTAAAAATATTGAGCATGATTTGTTAGCTCAAGGACTTTGTCAAAAACTTTTTTTTGCTGCTAAGACATGTTTATGTTGTGTGATATAACAGAAATGTGGATTTTCCAGTTTTCTTTTAAACTATTAAACTGTCTGAATTTCTGTCCATCTACCTCCCTACCTCCTACTTTCACAAAATCTTGTCTTCAAAAAGCATTATCGTTGCCCAGGCTGAAGATGTCAAAATGTGGACTATACGAACACCCTCCTATTATTGCTATACATGTGCATTACAGTAGTCTTTATTAATGTGATTACATACTGTCTTTATTTATTTATTTTCTAACCCCTACAGAATTCCCACACTTAGTGCACAAGATGGCCGGTGCTGTAGGTGGTGTGCTCAAAGAGTATCTATCAAGCTCCTGCTTCATTTGCTATAGATGTGGTGAGAACTTAAGTAGACAAAGCAGAGATTGTAAGAAGGGAAAGAAAGGGTCTCATCAGTGAGTCATTTGCAGGTGGCATAGAAGAGACAGGGATTGCACCTGCTTCTGCTTTATATGCAGTTGATAACATTTCCCAGCTTTTGGGGCGCCTGACTTGTCTATGTGATTTCATTTGGTGACAGAGCTGTGGGTTGGACATTCAGAGTAGCAAATAATCTGAAAAATCAGGTTCTCTCTATTCTCAGTTCTCTATTTGTGGCAGCCTTCTCCATTAGGTGACTGAAAATCAACTTGTGAATTTGTGAGGCCTGCAGACCTGTAGCAATGAGTGCTGTAAAAGCATCTTAAGGAAATCAGTAATAGAGTTGTCTTTGGAGTAGAGTTTGAATTGTGTTCACCAAAAAAAGTTTGGCCTATACACCGAAGCAAAGAGAAAGTTGTATACTGAATGCTGTGCATTAAGTGAATACTGCTCTTTTACATTGGAAGGTGGAATAAATAAATCAAAAGGAAACAGAAAGGGCACTAATCACACGTTTTTAATCCACAAATATGATAATGCATCATATACTTTGAGTGACCTGAACATTGCCAATAGTTTAGCAATGTTATTACATACCAAGCCACAATACAAAAGTTAACAATGAATATACAGGATATGCGAGTATGAGAAGTACTTCAAAACATTTTCCTTCCTTAAGGCTACTCAGATTTATAAATAAAATGACAGATGTTTGGCTGTTTGTCTAAAATATCAGAATCTGACTATTGATAGTTGCAACACACAAAAAGAAAATCACATACACCAGATATCCCTTTCCTTTTGGATATCTTGAATGTTGATTCATGTCTGTCTTCTGACTTTAAAAAAAAGAACCTACATATTTGTTTGCCACAAGTGAAACAAACATCCAAAATCTGACATGTGCACTGCGACAGGTGTATTGGATACAATAAATACTGTTCAAAAGCATCAATTGACAAGTACATGCTCTGGGGAAGAATGCCGCTAATGGTGCATGTAAATGTGGCTCTGGCAAATGTCTAAACTTGCAACCTTGAAAGGCAAATCTTAATGAACTTTTAACCCCAAATGTACGTATGTCATTATTGTGCTGTGCTACAAGGGGACAGTCCACATTCATTGCTCGTAAATGTATGTTTTACAGTTTTATGAGAAATAGATGGGAAAATTGCAAACTGCTCTGGTAATGTCTGGTGCTGCCATTTTTGCTGTCTCCTGCACTCCAAAATGTGTTCTCTTGGAGCAGATAAAAATGCTTCTAGCCCAACTCCAGTGGATAAGTGATTCGGATGTGTGTATTCCCTACTATATGAAGGCAAGTGCAATAGTTAAAATTTGGATTGTTGTTGTGAGAGACACACTGTAGTTATTTCAGATAAGGAAGGACAGGAGAACAAGATTACAATTTTGAAAAGTTTTTCTACTATGGTAGTATTTAACAGAGTTTAAAGGGGAAAATACAGTTTTCTGTTATCCTGAGGTGACCAATTCTGGAATTTTTTCTTAGGCAGAAACAGCTTTCCAATACACTTTCTTTTTCTTTGTCAATTTTAAAGTAGATGTATCTGTATAATGTACACAATACGGAAAGCGTTACCTCCTGCCTTCAAGATTATCTGTTACCTGTGTGTCATCTAAAAGGAGATGCTACGTGACACTGAAGTGTTAGTAGATTGAGGTAAGCTTGGAGGATAAGACCTAGAGGGCAAGGAGAGGAGGGATTTCTGAATGTAGTTTGGCTCAGCCAGCATTTTTGATGCAGCTGGAAGATTTTGAAAGCAGCAAGCTGGAGTATCTGCTCTGCTCTGGTTCTCCCTTTGTTTCCCTTAATCTTAGCAAAACTTTACAGAAAGTAATATTTCTTTACAAACTGTTTTCAGTTTCAACACAGCAGTATATTTTGTTTATTTAAAAAAAAAAAAAGTCACTGAAAACATTCCAACTAGTCATGGCTCAGGGCAATTCTAGTTCTGTCTCTAGCTTCGATATCTTAGGAGAGTTCTCTTAAATGGATTTTTACTGCCTTACTTCAGTGGAAATTTAGCATCCCAAATGTCATGCTATAAAGTCAACAAGGATTTTGCATTTTCTCTAGTACCCTACAGCACAGATTAATGTGTACAACATGAGTGTAATTTGCAAAATGACTCTAAAAAAATCTTACCACAATAACGCTGGCCTTCAGGTGACTCGTCAGCGTATTTGCCCTTTCCCCAAACACAAAAAGCATCCCAAAGTTCAGTTCTGACCTCTTTCAGCATTGCCTTAGCACTGGCCTAGCCTCAGTTTTCGCTTTGTTATCAAGGAGCTGTGCTCTTATTTGATGTGTTCTGATAATTTCGGAATACTTTGTAAAGTGGAGGACTTAAGACTGTGATGCTGAGCCACAGGAAAGTTACAATTTGCCAGAGACTATGTATGGGTTAGTAACAGAGCTGGAATTAGCTGCTGTTAAATACTAGATCATAGGGTCTTCTCCTGTCTTCTGCGAGTGCAGATTATAACAGGAATCTTCCCTCAGGTGTTATACTATACAAACCCTTATGATGTTTTAGGCAGTGTCTCTTTTTACCTTATTTCTGTTTGTTTGTATTTATTCATTATTTTAAAGAGTGTATGATAATTAATACGTTCTTCATGAAGCTCACTGGTGTTCTCTTAAGAAGGCAGTGGATAGACTACATTTTGATGGCACTGCAAGACTAGCAGACTGGGCTCCTTGTTTGTCACAACTCTTTGTGTTTTACTGTAAGCACAAATTAACTATAATAGATGTGTTACACCAAGAGTTTTCCCTAGGCTGAATATTGTCTTTTGCAGACATGACATGTAAACGTTGCTTCGTAGATCTATTGGTTTCTTAGTAGCACTCCTCTTCATAAGTGCAGTTTCAAAGTCTTCACCAAGGATATTTTGCTCTGGCAGGCAAAACAGTAAAAGCATAAACGACACCATAACCTTCAGGCTAAACTCATTTGATATTAACAAATACACAAAGCCTGAGAGTGAGGGAACCAATGTTGTATTACCTTATGTAGTTTTCTGGTTATCTTTGAGCTTGAACCACTGAGATGCTTTTCAAAATCAAAATGGAAGCTTCTCTCCCTTATCAGAAGGGAATAAAACATAAATCTTAAATGGGAATATTGCTTCACAGAGCAGCTTTTTAAACTTTCTCATGCTTCTAATCAATTTGTACTATTTGTTATCTACGATTAGACTTAAATCACATGTAAAAATCACATATAAAATCAGAAGGGCATTCTTGTATTGATTCCTGATCCTGATGAAAAGAGCGAGCTTAATCTATTATAGCTTTACTTTGTCTTTAAGCCTTTTCAGTTAGCGTGGAAACAATAAAATCATACACACCAAGAGCAGCGTGGGGTAAATTGCATGCATTGCTTTCTTGCCTTTTCCCATCTATTTTCACGCAGCCTGTGTTTGAGTTTAGTTTCTTTTCACCTACTAACCTTCCAACACAAAGCTAGTAAGGTTATGATGAGTAGCAATCCATTTTTGAAAAATCTATACCAACAGCCTTGTTCACTCCACTCCTTGCAAAAACTGAATTGTCTGTGCACAAAACATTAAAATTGATAGCTTTCAGATTTAAGTTTTCCACTTCATCATGAGCCAAGTGAGCACGTTCCCTGCTGGAGACTGTAGTAAGAGAACGGTAAGAAGGAAGCTCACATGCTCACCACAGCTCATGACGAGTGGCCAGTTCTAGACAGAAGTTTTTGGTTGGTTTCTTTTCTAAGTGAAGTTTCAAAGGACTTTCTCATCAAGTAGTTTGTTGATACCATCACAAATCTTTTTGAGGTATGGCCGACAATCCCCATCAAGGCTGTACAGGGCAGTTAAAAATTCCACATCTGCAAAATGGTTGAAAACATGGTTGATGCGCCCATGGGATCTTGGTGTCAGGTGTCGATCTACTAGTTCATGCACAAGGTCTTTACATTCATTCAGAAGTTCTGCAAGAACATTTCTATCAAAAGTGTATTCTACCTCATAGAAACTGACAATTGTCATGGCAGTTTGATTCAGCTTCTTCCTGAACTTGTCTACGATTTCCAACTCTTCTTGGTTGAACTGATTGTTTCGATAGAGGATCCCAATTTTTATTGCCACTTTAATCAGGTCCTTCATAATTTTATGAGCTTCTTTTTTGTTTCTTGTGTGTTCCTTTGTTACTTTGTATAGCTCATCAAAGATTTCACTGCTTGTGTCATCAATTAGCATGTTAGCCATGGTTTTGGTTGCCATTTTACTCAGGATCTTTTTCTGGGCTTGCAGTGCAAGACTCTTGGAACTGAAACAATCAGGACCTGTTTCAGGATAGCAGAAAAGAGGGAAAATGTTAATTTTACTTTGTGAGTAATTTTCACAATCAGTTATGAAAAACACTATAGGCTAGTTAGTTATGTGCTTCACTGAGGCCTTGGATCGATACATATAGTCAATATTGCAATAATGGGAGTGTTTCCAACACTTATTTCCGCGTGTCCTCAGGGTCTCAGACATGAGCATTTCAGGTCGTTTTCTTCTTGTCAAATTTTTTTGTATACAAATTAAGAGCAGAATATTCTGAGGAGAAAAATCAACAGTTCTTTGCTAGTCTCTTAATTTTGAAGTTTAAAATCAAAGCTTTCTTGGCAGAGAGATCTGCTGAGATTTGCTCAAAAAGGTAAATAAGCTATCAGAGACAAGCAAGATGGCAAGATGAAATACTGACAAATAAATATAAGAACTGAAAGAATTATACTTTTGGTCATTGGGAGTCACTGTTGTTCCATGGTTAGACTAAGCAGCCTCATATAAGGGCTGACAGAGCAAATCCATAAATGTGGATTTATTTTGCTTTAATCTCTAACAACTATACCTATATTTTGAGTTTTTTACCAATTTGTAAAATTCTAGAATGTGATTTTTGTTCAAGATTGATGCTTTAGTGTATGTGATTCCTGCCAAAAGAAATTACCTGACCTACTTGCTGTACATTGATCAAATAAACATGAGTATCTTGGATTTTGTTTTATTCATCCATGTAAGCTTCACTCAACATAGTACATAAGCATGCAGTTAATTTTGAGCATGTGGCTACTCCTGCTGGACTTTATCCAATGAGGTCCTATAGTTAGGTGGGGATTAATTTGACCTTCCTCTGTTCTTCACCTTAACTTTGGTTTTTAGCTGACCCTATGTGGACAAACTAAAGAAAACTGAAAGATTTCATATGATATGATCATCCAGTTTAATACTACAATAGTGAAACATCTGTTGGCTCCAGGGGCATTTTATCATTGTAGCAAAACGGTGATGAGCATTGTTTTAGTATGAGTCTCCTTCCTCACATTCTCCTCACATCTTGTCTAGTTATTTCCTCACACTGCAGGGCTACTTAAGTGCAGCAATGGAGATTGGGAGTCTTTCTGTGCCAGTTGTGAGCCCCTGCTCTGCATTCCAGGAGACCAGAATCTTTGACGTGAGTGGGGAGTGGAGGCAATACTGCTTCAGCTGCTTCATCAGCTGCTGGGGAATCAAGACACAGAGATTAAAAAAAAAACAACAACAACAAAACCCAAACTTTCCAGTGCTGATTTGATTTTGGAGCATGAGGAGGATTTAGGTTGGTTGAGTGAGCTCAGATAATCATGCTGTAATTCTGTTGTGTAGCTGTGATTTGTGAGTGTTTGCGGTAGAGCCTAGACACCGACCTGTGGCCTCACTCACATGGCAGTGGTTTAACCACACTCTCTTCTCAGTGGTTCCTTACATCATCTCAAGAGGCAAAAGTGATGCTGGGTGCCAGTGCTCATTTCAAATAAATCACACTGTGAATTAAAACAGTCTTCTATTTAAATGAGATTTTTCAAGTTAGCGAAAATACCACATTAAAGTTCTCACCTTTCCTTGTGTGCTACAGCTGTACTACTGAGCAAAATGAAAGAGTAACATTTAATTTTAACTGAACCACCACCTGGAAAAAATAATTCAGTGTGTTTAAAAGAATTGCCTGTCATTTGGAGGGAAAATTGTGGGCCTGATCTGCTGACTGAAGGAAATAGAAAAACTGTGATTAAATCTAGAAATGATAAAACCAGGATGAAAGCATTCTTTCACTTTGCAGTACATGGGTATATGAATAGTCTCCATGATGGATAATGCTGTGTATTGACACAGTAAAATGGAAGATTCATATTAGTGTCTGTTTCTGTAGTATTTGCTACCAGTCAAGTGGATGCAGTTGTTTGGTATTTGTTTTGATCAGTAACGGAAAATAATTGCAGTAGATTTTTAGAATATTAATTTTACTAATACTCATGATAAATTAGTCTCCATCTTCAGTAGGTGACAAACCAGTTGGCTCCCTCCATGCTTAGCTCTCCAGGACAGAGAGCGCTTTTCCAGAACCATTGTGGGTCTGTGGCTTGATGCAAAGGCATACAGAAATAGGTAGCAAGTGAAGTACCATGTCCCACACTGCACACAGTGAGTCTGTGGAGGCCCATTATACCAGGGCACCTGTGGAAGAGCCAGTAGCACAACCACCAGCAGATTCTCAAATGCACGCAAATGGTAGAGAGCATTTTCTGTGGCAAGTCCAAACTCTGGGATCTGCTCTCTCATGGCCTCAAACTGAGCTCCTACTCGCCTTTCTAAAAAATTAAGAAAGCCTGCATTATATTGGAGATGCTAACATTGTCTCTAGAAGCTGTATTGCCTTTCCTGCTGTGATTCCCCCTAGTAGGCCCCAATGCTGTATCTTCCTTGCCCTGCTCTCTATCTCTTGCTCTTCTCTGTTCAAACTAGGACCCCAATTTCATCTCTTACATCCCTGCCAAGGCCCCCTCCTCCACTTTGTCTCTAAAGCATATCTCACTGCTGGATCTCTAGCATCTAAGCTGTATGCACCACTGGTGTTCAGAGCCCTCAGCACCAGGCAGACCCAAAGACTTTGTGCATACTCTTGTCTCCCCTCTCTTTCCCCTAGTTGTGCGGCCCTGTGAATTGTAACATCTGTGATAGCTGGTAAGTTGTTTCATCACTGTGACTGCCAAGCACCAAGTGTGCCATCTAGTCATCCCGATCTCTCTGCCAATCAACTGCACCAGACAGACAAATCCTAGAGGGAAAGGGCTGTGCTTCATAGTGACACAGGCTAAGTTTGTGCACCTGTAGCATTAAAAACATGCTGCAGCCTGCTGCCAGTCTTTACACCACATCAGGAAAAAGCTGAGATGATCAGGAAGGATGACAACTGGTGCATCACATCTGAACTAGCAGCCAGCCACCTGGCTGGCAAGATTGGTGCTCTGTAGAGGCTGAGCCTGTGACCTCTGCCTGCCCCAGTGCTTGTTTGGACTGTCGGACAACACGCACAGGTCGAGGAGGTAGGTAACCGGCATCAGTCCTAGCGTGGCTCAGACAGTGGGCTGCCTGCAATGGGTTGTGTTCAACTTTCCTTAAATTCTGGGCATATACAGCTTTAGAGCAGCGTACCCTGGAAGAAGGAGAGACTGTATTGTTTGGATTCCTACCTCTGAAATCATGCAGTGACTTTTAGAAAGCAAGGTGATGCCTTGCTTTTCAAAGATTGCAAGTAGCCATGTGATTAAATTCAGGCTTTCATGAGGACGGCAGGTTTACTTCAGAAACCTTTTCTTGCTGCGATACAATGCTTTTACATAAAATAAAACTTCTTTGCCTCCTACATGCGGCAACGTTCTTTTTGCTTTCTTTCACATAATGAAACAAATCAGGAACAACATTTTAGATGCGACTAGCTTTCAGGAACATTATGCGTGTGTGCGCGTGCAAACATACACACACAAATAAAAAAAAACAAACAAAACAACCCCCTGAGCATACTTCTTTGCTAGGTAATAATTAGCTTCCATTAGGAATTCTGGCATCTTAGTTTTTACTAAAGTAAGAACTGGTTCTGTCTTCGTATTTGCTTGCTTGCTTTCTCTTTCTGTAGATTATCTAATGACTTGTATATCCTAAAAGCTATTCAAAAAGCCTCATGATCTTCCATTCTTCAAAAGTGTATTTCTCCAGAGCTGTATTTCTGCAGTTGCCATATCTGAAAACTGAATGGAGCCTGGCCAGCAGCTGTCAGTGAGGTGACCTGAGGAGGCCTCCTGCATCTGGGCAAAATAGGAACCTGGAGACACCACAGGCAGGATGCTGCATGACATCTCTACAAGTGTAAGCTCAGCTTTTGGTACATGGTGCTAAAGATGGAACAGATGTCTCACTTCCCAGTAACAGAGATACTTAATAATAGAAGCGTGGAAAAAGTTTTGCAACTCTAGAGAGTGGATATAGGAGTTTTATAACTTCAAGAGTTTTCCAGACTATAATGCAAGAACATCTGTAATATTCTCAATATTTTGCTTCCAGATGGCTGTACAGCATATGAAATGGTTAGAACTAAATGCTCAGCAATGCTATTTTCATGTAAATATCCAGTCACCCATTTTATATACAACACGGAAAGCAGAAACAATATATGGTCCCCTTGCTATGCACAGGAGAGAGAATGGTTGACTATCTACAAACAATTACCTGGACATAAAATCAAACACCCTGAGCGTAGAGTCCGTTTCACTTGCAATTAGCCTTAAGAAAGTTTTGCAGCCAAGGATATTTTCTGCCTTGACAAATGGCTGAAAGACATGTTGAAGTGAGCTCTGGGATAAAAATTTACAGAGTAGGAGTTAACCTGCAGAGTTTCTGTGGAGTTGGCCATGTACCTTTTTTAGTGTATTAGCAGGCTTGCTTGGAGAGGAGGGGTATAAAACAATTTCTTTGGTTTTGTTGTGCTTGTACAGTTAATTTTACGTATCTGACACTGGAAATTGTTACTATAGTGCCTGCTGCAGCCTGTACTAATTAATCAACTACCTTAACCATTGACTTCACCTGCTCTAAGGCTGATCACACTTGCAGCTGTGTGTCATCTCCCACTTATACTGTGAGTGTTTACCATACTGAGAGAGCCTGTTAAAATGCTAACTCTCAGCAGTCAGTGATGTGTTGCACTTTCAAACCATTGCTAACTGGTGCTTATCTGGTGGCACTAAGTTAGATCAAGAACTTACTGAAGAGGTAAGTTGAGCTATCCTAAATCTAAGGACTGAGCTAATAGCATTAGGGTGCTGCAGGACCGCAGCTGGCTCCTGTGGCCTGGCAGGGTTGGGAGGTGACAGGAACTGGAATGAGTCCCGCTCTCTGCCACAGCTGTGCTGTAAATAGGCAAAGGGCTGAATCTCAGGCTGAAGGAAAGGAAGGTATGCAGAAAAGTAAAGATAATGATCAAGAGGTTGAATTTTTTTTTAATACTCATGAATCTTCAATTTTCAAAATGCAGTGCAGCCTCTGCAGCAAGAAACAGGCTTTAAGGAGTCAGCAAAGCTGCTGGAAATGTGAGCATCCATCCGATCGCCAGCAGTTGGCCAGGCCTGTTGGAGAGGGACTAAGCCATGGGACGGAGGGGTTCAGCAGGTTCGCTGTGGTAGGAGGTAGCTGCACTGTGAATATCTTTGCAGGAAATGTGCCCAACTGAGCAGAAAAGGAGTGTGCTACTTGTTTGAATGAGTGTAACTTTAACCTGGTGATATACCTACCCTGCAAGCTGGAGAGTTTTGGAATGTACATGAGAATGCGTGAGGCAACTGTAGGCTGCCTTATAAGGCTTTTACAAATAATTAAATGAGCCGTGGATATCTAAATGGTTAATCAAAAGTTACTGCTGTTTTTGATACTCTACCGGGCTATACAGTTACCTGGAACATCTAATTTCCATCACTTCTAAATAGTTAATAAGCATAAATAACCTTAGAGGAAAACAAGAGCAGGAAGTTTTATTAGGCTGTTAGGCAAAATTAAAGATGTATAGGGACAAGGAAAAGGTAGCAGAAATTCAGAAATCTGTGTAAAAACACAAACAACAAAAAACTTTTTGCCTAATTTGCACCAGTCAAAGAAAATGTTAAGAGATACTGAGCTGCAAGCTAATTTGTTTCATTTGTCCTTCATATGTCATTTATATGCTATAAGAATGATTAGAAAACTGAATGGCAGACCTCTAGATTTCAAAATAGCTCTAAAAATATGTAAGAAAAAAGTGCACTACAAGCATCATTCTACCATCGTATTTTAGTACTGTGCAACCAGAAAGCTAGCTGTAAGTGTGCATATTACTCTTGGACAGCTACAGGACCATTGCAAAAGAAACATTCAGTATTTCCAGTAACTTTAAGCCAAGAAATCCAATAGAACAGATGGAATATATCAGTTTTCAAGGAGGGCCAACTTGAATGTGAAAGCACACAGGGCCCAGCACTCAAACTTTTAACACTTCTAAATTGTTACTATGAACGTAAAAGGGTTGCTCATTTTCATAATGGAACAGGAGATACAGACTGATAGTTATATGATCCTAGGAGAACATACTGCTAACTGAACTCTGAAATCAAAATTTGGGCATGCTGCAAATGGCAGCAACATCAATGTAAAGAGGAAACATGACTGAATGGAAAAGAAAAAAAAAGATTATTTTTCCTTTCAGTACTTTCCACAAGTGGTAGTTACTTTGCAAAAAAGCAACTTTCTGGAGTTTCTAGTGACTGGAGATTACTAACGGTAATTTTATTTCAGCAGCTGGATTGTATTTTGAACTTATTTTATTAATAATACATTACTCCTATGTACTAGCGTGTCTTTCAGTACCTGGCAGGCTTGGTGGTGGGCTGAGTAGCTTTTCCTGTAAATGGAACAGGAGCAATGCAGAATGACCAGTTTAATTGCTGTCCTTGCCTCAGGAAT